AGACGGCACATACTGTATAATTTAAGAAAATTATTGAATATTCTTTGTATGATACACGGAGGTTATACTGGCGCGCAGCCAAACTAATTTGAACCCAGAAGTATTCATAATTGGAAAAACTTCCCTTCGCTTATATGATATATTTAGTGTAAATGGAAATGAGTTAGCATTTTTGAGGCAATAATGTTTGTGTTCTGTCGAACTTTTTTTGTTTATAATACATATGAACAAATTACAAAAGGGATTTGGCAGTTTGCCTACTTTTTCATATTTTCATCAACTGAAATGGTATGACTCCATAACAGTGGCGGCCAAAGTTATAAGCTCATAAAGTACACAGGGTTGCATCGAATTTACAGAATTTCTAGTTGATAAAATAAATTCAGCTGGAAATTCAAAGTCGAGTGAAATTACAGCAGAAGTGTGTGAGAACCAGACTCTAAAATGCAGATGTGGATTGCGTAGAGACGCAATGTATGGAAGCCAAAGTTTTGACATGGTCACTGAATTGAAGCGGACACAATAGCATAGAAACCATGTGAAGACTGTGTGTGAAGAGTAAATCTCATACACATACATTACTTATATAGATGCCGTTACACATAGTGTAAAACTATTTGCATTGTATTTACAACGAGTGATTGCGCTGACTTGACTTGACGCACAAAAGCCAATTAGAATGACACATAAGTCAGATCGACAGATAGTGGTTTTATGCGCTTCTCACTTTTGGCTACGGCAAAAGTTCAAAGTGAAAAGTTTTCATTTTAATTTTCATAGTTTTCACATTTGTTTGGTGTGCGAAACTTTCTAGCAGCAAGGTACGCGGAACATGAGGGGCGACAGCGCAGCTAAGTGAAATAGACCATAATCGCCACTTGTTGTGGTTGGCAATGATTCTGTGGCGTGCCACTAATATTGAGGATGAAATTTTTACTAGAAAAGTTTTAGCAAATTACGCCTTTCATATATAATTTAACTTGACACTGAGAAAAGTTGAAAAGTTTGACAAGGCATGGTGAGGAAATAAAATTTAACGACATTTCACATAGCTTGATTTAAGAAAATTACAATAATTGGTGAGTAAATGAAAATAGGTTGAATGCGAAAAATTTTTGTGGATAGATTATCGTTGAGTGAGCAGGTGCCCAAGTCTCTGAGTGATATATTAAGGTGTGGCCTTCTGAGTTCTATTGAGGTCTATTGAGTGAAACTTATTGGATGTAAAGGGTGATCGAAAGATTCACTACTTTATAACGAAAAAATTTAAAAACTGGAAATTTAGTGGAAAATGCTTGTTATCAGCTGAAAGAACATTCTTTGGCTTTTATTTTTTGAAGATTATCACTTTCAAATGTTGGACACGGCTAGGTCTCAGATGCTCCATCTTTTGAGGCCATTTTTCGATGACCCAAAGCCTGCATAGTAGCCATCTTGATGACCAATCGACCGACCCAAAATATGAAATTATTTGCTCACCGATGTGTTCTCTCAATGAATCCATTGATTGATGGGATGTGTGGGAAGTGGCGCCGTCTTATTGAAACCAATTCAATTTCTCCAGTTTATGGCTTCAAATAATGCTCGCCATTGACTGTTTCCTTTGGCATTATTTTTAAAGGGATATGAATCGTTGATTCCCTCATGCCACAAACCACACAAAACCGTTGTTTTTCGGAATGAAATGGCAGCTATTTGATCTCTTCCGGTTGCTCTTTCGGGGTTGTGGCTGCGGATTAAACTTAAATGCGAAGTCAACTTCTCTTTGTCCTAGTTCAATGTGGGAATCGCTAACATTGTATCAGGCTCTCATCAGGAATTTGTTGTGATCCAATCTCTTGAACACGACGCAGAAACTTTCAGTTTGTGCTGACATATATTAATCTCGTAGTCATTTTGTTTACTTCAATTTCTACGTTTTAGTTAGTTTGTCGATAAAAATATATTAATAAACAGAAACACTGTAAAGTCTCATATTGATTATGGAGTGCCTCAATTTTAAAAATTTTGGTCACATGAAATCTGATCACATGATCAGGAAAGCTTAAAACGACTCATGGCGATCGCTCTGCACATCGATAGAAAGTTGCAGAGAAACCGCAAGCCTGAGCAAAGTGTTTTCGAAAGATCAAAATAATACTGGTTACATTAGGGCGGAGGGAAATGATTGGACTTCCTCTGCAAAAGAGCAGCATGTGCAGGTGTTACTGGTGCAATGAACTCAACGCTCAATGTGGTTCTACATCAAAACCTATAGACATCTTTATTCACAAAACAGCAGCATTTGCGGCTATAAGAATGAAAAAAATGGGTGGTTGGAATCAACAGAATTACTACATGGATTACTCAACATTAATAAATCAGATATTCTCCCAAAGCTGGATTTCAATAGACACTCCCAGGTGAGGATAAACTAGAGATGAGAATGGAGAAGAGGCTCAATAGGGGAGGAAGATACTATCTCAGTCTATACCGACGGGTCTAAAATAAACCGCGGAGTAGGCACGGTGGTATTCTCCGCTAATCTGCACATATCTCTCTCTATCCGTCTACCGAACTAGGCTGGCATTTTCCAAGCGGAAGTACTGGGTATTGAAAAGGCCTGCGAAGTTCTATTGGAAAACCACAAGACTATGCGTAAAGCAGCTATATTTAGTGATAGCCAGGCAGCGCTGCTTGCTTTGTCTTCGTCAATGACAAATTTCAGTATAGTTCACAACTGTAAGAAAGCACTAAGCTCAATAAATGATAAGCTCCAACCAGACTTGATCTGGGCTCCCGGTCACAGGTASATTTTCGTTAACGAAAAGCAGACGAGGTGGCAAAGACAGGAGCTTTCCTTAACGTATCCGAGGCGGAGCGAATACCAAGCCCGCTAGGATCAATCAAAAGAGAGATCAATAGACAATTTCAACAAGTTTAAAATAACAGATGGGAAAACATAAAAAAATGCATCATAACTAAACAATTATGACCAAAATATAACAGGAAAATAACCAACGACTTATTAAATAGGTCTAGGAAAAGTATATACAGAGTAACAGCTACCACAACAAGGTACTGGCCATTTGAAAAATATGCGGAATAGTAGGGAACAAGGAAACAATTTTCCACTTTCTCTGTGAAGGCCTAGCCCTATCAAAGATCCGATGCAGAACGCTTGGAATCCATCAAGCACCAAACCTCGAACAGATTTCTACTAAAAGCATATCAGACATAAATAGCTTTATCGAAATCTCAAAATGGTTTGAAAGAGAAGGTGACACTGAAGGTTCCACGAATATTGCATCAAAATGACACAGTGAGTGCTAATTGAGGCCGAAAGACAACAGGGCTGCACTTCTACCTACCTAGGACCTCTAAACTATATAATATGAATGAAAAAAAAAAAAAATTACTCGTCAAGTTTTGTATGACATCAAAACATATATTCTCTTAATAAATATGAACATTAATTATATAAGGAAAAATTTGTGCTTAGTATAACAAAAATAGTAATGATTTTCGTGAACATTTTCCTTCTGGAAGACCTTTTACTTAATACTTTTCTTGGCTTAATATCCAGCAATACTCATTTGGCATTCCTGCGCTTCATTTGCCTTGTTTGTGTTTTTCCATTTAAAAAATGTACTGATGCCCATTGTACATACATTTTTCGGCAAGCAATCCAGATGTGAGTCCAGAATATGTATTTTCAAGGAACTTAAAGCTTTCTATGACATTATAAGTTCAAGCCAAGTCAAGCATTATGCTAAAATTTCTATTCCCAGAAAAATTCCGTACTATTTTTAATAAAATTTTTTCTTCAGTCTTCTTTGAAATGAACAATTTAAGAGCCTCAACAAAACGATACCAGAAAGCAGTCAAAGAATGTATAATCGACATTTAGAGTAACTAATCAGTAATCAGCTTTTTTGAGTGGCTGGTAGTTTCCAGTCCTCTTACTAATCACCTTTGCTGCTTCTGAACTCAACATTCATTGGGAGGCCTCAAGTAAGTACTTGTAATGTTAAAAGTTTCTTCTCATCGTGTGAAGCGCAATAGGTGTAGTAAGATTTCTACGCAAAAATGAGCCTCACCCTCTCTTACTTTTGCTTTTACTATTTTTTTTTTCTATCTCTCTTATGTAAAAGTGTTCTGCAGTTTCCACGAATGTCATCTAAATAGTAACTCCATGAAAGCGAGTTCAAGATAGCTGTCTGCATTGCATTATATATGCAATTTAAAGATTCTCAGTAAAATACTTACCCAGTGAGCAATGAGTAAAAAAAACTTAAACTTATTTAATATCTTCTTACATTTATTATATTATATAATAATATTAATATATTTCGAATACATATATTTTGGACAACTTTCTTAAAATTGAAACTTAAAAGTTATTTATACAATTTTTTTTACATTCTTATAAAGGCCAAAAATGTGTTTAATCTTATCTTATGGTATATTTTTTTACCAATTGTGTACGTAAATGCATTGTTTGAATAAAATAAATTCTTTTTTCAACAATTTTATCAATAAATTCCGAGTTTTTCACATATTATCTTCTCATTTAAACTCAATATATATTTTTATTACAACATTTTTATTGTGTTAACATTTATCAAATTCGAAAAAGTTATTCTTCAGCAAATTTTTCAATTACAAAGTTGTTGTGTTGGGGAGTTGAGACGTACTGTAGTAGACGGTTATAAAGACAGATGTAGATTCTAGAAGTTCTTGGGTTTTGTAGTTTAATATTTTTTATGTAAATATCAAATATTTTATATCATATTTTTTATATTTTTATTTTTTATTTTTTTTATTTTATATTTTGTGTTTTACTTTTTTTGCTTAATAAATATTTAGTGCATATATACATTTAAAAGATATTATACATTCAAAAGAAACTGCAAATATTTTCGTTTTTATTAATTTCTAATTTTTAGAATTCAATAACATTTTACAATTTTTGAAATATTTTTTATTCTTTCAGTCTTCATTGAAAATTTGGGAGCTTGACAAAATATTTGGTAGATTTATGTTGATGATCGGGCATCGTTGCTTTAACGAGAAAGTTTCGAAATTATGTTATGTTGTATGTGTTAACATATTCACCTTTTGATGAATCGGCACAGGCTATAAGACTATTGGAAATCCCCCAGATCACTCCCGACAAACTGCAACTGGCCGCTGGTAAGCTCAAAACTTACGATGGTCGGACATGATCGGAGCTTTAGAAAAAATTTTAAAGTTTTCGATTACCTTAATTCTGTGGTGCGGAGCTAACTTAGTAACGGAAAACCGAAGTACCATACTAGAGAGGGATGACATAGAAGTTACATCAGGAGCAGCAGAAGGGTCCATTTTAGGCCTGGACCTGTGAAATATTAGTTATTATGGTATACTAATACTAATGCCAGACGAAACATATATAATCGGCTATGCGGATGACACAGCAACAGTAAACACAGCCCGAGACACATAGGAAGACAACAAAAAAAAAAAAAAACTGACTTTCAAAAAAAGATGAAAATAAGAAGAGCGCTATTGATAGAATAAAGAAAGATACGATACTCGCATGGCAATGAACTTGAGAGAGTGAAAGTCGCTGCAGATGGAGGATCAGACTTATTAAGGACAAGCCGCAAAATTTAGTTCTACACAACACAGTTTCAAATTCAGACACAGATATTTCAGAAAGTACCTACATACAATGTATAAAGTCGTAGAGCCGTCAACATGCGATGAAACGGGAACACACCACAGTAGAAGTACTGATTGGCCGCTGGATATCGAAAAAACTGGAAGATTATCCAGAAATACGCAGCAATTTTGCTACGGCGAAAAAGGCGAGTGGCGGACCAGGTAAGCAGATGTAAATCTTTCATTAAAAATAATGGAACGCCACCCTGAAGTAATGCAAACGCGGTTACAGGCTGGGAGAGTGATGTGCAAATGGCACATACCGTTGCTCTGATGACAGCTCTGCTTATGCCGAAGCATTTTATATCCCTCATCCGCAAAAACAAAATGTTGCCTATTTTTAAGATTATAAATATATGTATAATAATTAAACACACATGAATTGAGTTCTACAGCAAGTTTAGTGGTGGATATGCTTATTGCATTAAAAAATTTTATATCAGCAAAATTTGCTTAAGAGAGTTTCATAAATTTTTAGTAATTTGATTTACATCCTGTATGGATTAACCTTAGTTTTTTTAGCTTTATTAGGAAAAAGTTTTGGAAAACAAAACTTTATATTTCATGATTTTTTAATATTAACAATATATTAATCTTATGCCGGCAGTAGAATTATATAATTTTGTACCACAAAGGTGTTTCACGAAATTTCCACCGGATCTAAAGGAAAAAACAAAGTACATAGTTTCTATATTGAAGCATACGTTTAGGCAAAAATTAATAGAACGTGTGTCAAAGTTCTGACCTTTGAAAATATACGTGTTGCTTTTCTTTAATGGTAAAAAATCTTAAACAATACACCAATATCTTTACAACAATTTCCACATAAAATTTCAATATAGACCAATTGTATGACAAGTGATTTTTAAATTTTGTGTAAAACGCCTAAAAGTATATGCCTACAATTCCCGTCTACAAGTCCGTTTGCAGCACCTTGTTAATCACATCATCGCGCTCCACCAGCGCGCACATCGGACGCTCATGATCAAGGACTAGTATCATCTCTTCACCCTCAAGTGTCGCTGCGCGCACCGTTGTGCGTCCATTTGGTTGCAGCGTCACAGGAGCGCCGCCATCTGTCGATGCGGTTGCAGTTGCCAGTAGCAAAGCTGACGCCTTCTCGCCCGCCGCTGGGGCTATGGTTGTTGAAGAAGTTGTAACCGAGGAACTGTTATTTGCGCTTGTTGTTGCTATAAAATGTGGCTCATTTTCGTTAGCGTTGAGCAGACGCTTCTGCCGATTTTTGCTGTTGCTTTGTTTCGCTAACAGACTCGGCTCAGCCTGCAGTTGAGCGTTCACTTCATGCTTAGTCATACAAGTGAAAGCTTTGTAAAAGCTCTTGCGAAAGTTGTCACTAAGAAAAGCATAGAGTATCGGATTAACAGCAGAGTTGGAGTAAACCAGACAGCAGAGCAATAGGAAAATGAGTATTTCAAGTCGTGAGAGTTGACTTTGCATAGGATTAGAGTTGATAAGCGCCACCTGTGATATCCAATACGGCAGCCAACAGCATATGTAAACAGTGATAACGGTGAGCACAAGGCGCGTCACCTTGCGGTGCGAACGTTTCTTTTCCTTTGACTTGTGCTTTGAGCCGACCGCATGCAGCTTACGTATGACCAAAACGTAAAAACATAAAATGAAACTGAGTGGTATGGCGAAACCGAGAAAGAATGTGTATAGCGTAAACATAGTGGCCGAATGCCTTTTGTACGTTTCAGGCCATTCTATATTACAAGAGAGATTCACGCCATCCTCTTGGCTAATAGTGCTCGCATAGAGTATGACCGGCAGCATAAGCACAGCTGAGGTCAGCCATGCTATAGCCGATACAATCTTAGCGATGCGTTGTGTGCGGTATTTCGTCGAGGCGATCGGATGACAAACTGCGAGATAACGATCAGCAGACATGATCAGTAGAAAAATTGATGAAGTGAACTGCGTAATCGAAGTGCTAACCATATAAGCTTTACACATGTACTCGCCGAAGCGCCAACCACAAATACGCATGGTATACAATAAAAACGGTATGCCGATCAAAAAACATTCGTCGGCGATCGCCAAATTTAGTAAGTAGATATTCGTCACAGTCTGCATTTTCGAAAAGCGCAACACGACGTAAATGACGAGCGTATTACCAAAGATGCCGACAAGACAAACGAGCGAGTAGAGTATGACTGTGGCCAGATCGGCGAGTGAATTGCGATGCGCCAGACAGTGTTCATAAAAAGTGCGTCTGCGTTGCGTATGCCGACCGGTCAGTGCTGCATGCGCGTGGGTAGCATTGTATGCCGCTGACGTTCTCGTGGTATTATGCATATTTCGTGGCGTTACAGTGCGCCTGTCGGTCGACATTTGCTGCGCGCTCGACTGCTGACTCGGCGTGACAGTACTTATGTTGTCGTTTTCCGCAGTACTCATCACGCGCGTCATTGTACTGCTGGCAGGCCAAATTGTCGTCAGCGCTTCTGCTTTGTCGCGCTCAATCATTTCACCGCCCTCAGTTGACACGCGCGCCGTTGGCTTACCTGCTGTTTCCATGCAATTAAATAACAACAATGCGCTGCTGAAGATGATCAATGTCATGCCATTCGTCGTCGTAGTTGCTAGCCGTTGCCACCACATTTTTGCGGTATTGAATTTCGTTAAGGGTTTTGTGCTTGACTGATTTGCTGCCGATGGACAGCTGACAGCTGTCAGTTGAGTTTTAATGCTTTTACGCTTCAATAATGTATGCCTTGTTGTTTTCTACTAAAAGCTTCGCAAGTTCTTTATTCATTCAAGTGTTTTTATTATTTTCCTGTATGTATGTAAGCATGGACGCGTTGAGAGTAAATGAGGTGTGGGTGTATATTGACCTGCAAGTGAAATATTAAATTAAAAATTTGTATAATAAAGTCAATATTTGAACAGCTTAATGTAGCAAAACTTTAGGCTCATATAATATATTAATATATTTTTACATATTACATATACTCTCTTTTCGGTATATGTATAGTGAAAGACTGCGCTGCAAAAAGTTTAATGTTTACGATTTGTCACATGACATTATGATAAAGTTCCTGACTGAAAGCGTTCAAGCGTTAATTATTAAAATTTGCTGCCCAAAGGTATGCTATAATAAAACAAGTATTACATATTTTGGTGTGTATGTTTCTGGTGTTAAAACGCGATATGAATTTGATTGAGTTCATGATATAATACTCGAGGGAAGAGTGTGGAAATATACTTATTGGCAAATGCATTTCGATTCCGTCTTTAAAGGGGCTTAGGACCTCCCTTTAGTTGAAGTCCACTGATTGTGACGACGGTAGAGGTTAGTGACTCTGAAAGCATGCTGAACTTACTTTTATTCGTAGTGCAAAAATCTGGGTAGAAGTCCTTGCTGTAGCGAAGTCAACTATTGGTGACCAAGGCAGGGTTTGTTGAACCTAACCTAACTAAGAGAATATACCTTGAAAATGGTTTCACTGCGCAGTAAAAGCAAATAAGAGAACTATATAATTGAGAAGTTCGTAAGAGCACCTTGTAATGGTATACAGACGGCTTGATAATGACAGATGAAATTGAGGTCGGGAGAGTGGCGCCTTATACCAAACTGTCAGGGTCCATAGGTCGGTTTCTAAGCATTTTTCAAGTTCAATCTCGCAGCGAGTACTTTTAATGTACCTTGCATTTGAACTTTGCGTAAGTCAATATAAATAGTGAGTGGTCTAATTGTTTGCGAATTGGCTTCACTACTTAGGCTTATATCTCACTTTTGCTAGCAAAAATCATCAAGTACCTCGAATATTTTAGTTTTAGCGAACCTTAATAGTTACCTCTAAAATTGGTGTAATTGTTAATTTTTGAACCCAAAAGTTTCGCTCCTAAATGTATGCTACATTAGTAGACAATCATACTATAAATTTCTGGATATATTAGCTAAGGAAAAGCTTTGAAACAATGAAATGTATTTTAGGAGTACACAGCTGTAAGTATATATGATGATTTTACTTTATTTTTCATTTTCAATCGAATGGTTAGTAGCTTTAATAGCTTTCAAACTGATATCTTATTTTGAACACAAAGCTTAAGGCATGCGTTGTGTGCTTAAACCAAACCAAAAATTGCCATTAATGCAATTTCGTTATGACTTACGCATTGAGAAACAAAATCAAACAACTTGGTATGGATATAACAGACTTACGTGCGAACGTAGAAAGTAATAGTTATGCATAAAAATTTATACATGTATGTTGAATTGATAATTCCAATGAATTTATGGCCATTTTGTAGGTTTACGTATGGCTGTCTGTATGCCAAAGTATTTACTCCGTAGAATAAATTCATATTCATTTATTTGCGTAAATGAAAATCTCTCAATTTGTGGATATAAATAAATAATTTTGCATAAGTGTGTTAAGGTAGAAGCGCCCGAAGCTATACTAGAGGTATGCATAAGAGTATACATGCTTTTAGGTGTCAAATAATATAGGCCAATGGAAGTTATTTCCCTGATAGTAATTACAAAATATACATATACATATTTATATATAACTAAATTTTTAGGAAGTGTACATAATTTCACTCGAAAACATTGCTGATTTGTTTTTCGCACATTGCATACCCACAGGCGCATAAGCGTGGCGAAGCAATTTGTTTAATTAAAATGCACACTACAGCATGTTTTGCGTTACGAAATTGCTGAGTGGCAACTCGAATCGATTTGTTGGAAATGATTTTCAAAGTGATTTATACGTAAATAAATTTGTTACGCTACCATTTCTGCGAAAATCTGATTAAGCGCAATCGTTGGCGTCACGCTTTTTGCTTCATGTGTCATTTACTCTGCAGTTGCATACCTGTAGGCGCTTAAGCAATTTTCAATCCTTTTATTAAAACGTTTGCAGTCATGAAATCTCTTGAAAATTTATGCTCCGTAAAAGGCTTTTTGCAATTCATTACGCCCGCTTAAGTCGTCACTTAGTTGGATGTGTCACATGTGCGCCCAAAAGCTCAAAAATGCCATGATGTATGCAGAAAGTCAAAGCAATCTTGTTAGCCACACAAGTTTTGCACTTTATTGGTATTAATTGTAGGCGACCCCAACTCGATGATTTAATTTGCCTCAAATGTCAAATGGCTATGTGGCTACGGTGCACATGCGAGGTCAGGATCAGTTCGTTAAACTTTGTGTACAGAATTTTATACACTTGCGTATACATCTAATGCAAACAAATCGCTTTAAAGTGTTTGCTTATTATTTGCACACTTCAGTTGGCATTTGTGTGAGTGTATTTGCCAATTGGCGCCGTTGTCTGTGCCAGTGACACGCATTTTCGTATCAATGTACCCGAATAAATTTACCCGCTCAACGTGAGCTTTTGTGCTTAAAAGGCGCTCACATGCAAATGCAAACAAATAAATGTGCGCACTCATACAGACATTCGATTATACATACATATACATTTTATATGCATATTTATTTATGTGTTTGTATATACATTTTAAATATCCTTGCAATCAGCATTGCAAATTTCAATGGTTTGTATTCGAAATCATTCCAATACTAGTTCAAAGTGAATGGGAAAGGTGTTTAGCGTTGCTTTGTAATTAAAGAATTAAAATTACTTCTTGACCTAGAACGGAATATAAATATGTTAATTTAAAAGTATGATATAAAAGCAGCTAATCCGAAAAATTGTATATTTTGTTTTACTTGAAGCGGTAATATATTTACAGAATTTTGTGTAATTTAATAATCAGCGATTCATTTTGAAGATTTCTGAATTCTCTTTATCTCGTTGCCGATCTTTAGGAGGAACTCCGCAATAATGGTAAGGAGATCTCACCACATTGTCAAAAAGCTTAATTAGTATATAGATTATTAAAAGTTTCGATGAAAGTACTTTTTCACATTTTGAGTTTTTGACGAAATGGTGCTTTAAAAAAGTAATTTTCTGTGAAAATGTTTACATTTAAGTGTTGACTAAAAAATCAAAATGATTTTCAAAAAATCCTAGAAAACTTAAGTTAAATCGTTTAGAAGAAAATTTCCTCACCAAAATATATAACATTTTCATTATTTGATTTTCTTTTACTTTCGGTAGCTCTCTGCCTTCTTCTCCAACTGCTTCATTCAACCCACAACACCCTTGTTGGTATGTGGGCAGAGAAGAATCCGTCAGAGTGCGATTTGGCGACTTCGTGATCCAAGTAATTCGGTATGAAGTCAAAGTGTGTGAGGATATCCGAGTGTTCAGATACGTGTTATTTTAAGAACCCAGCTTAACTGAGTCTGATGGCAATTTTCACAATCATACATCTTCCGACGATATTTTCCGTCACTATATGCAAGATGGCGTTGAATGCCATGATTAAAGTGGACCTTAGTGCACATGCTATTGATTATTGCCCGTTGCACGATCTCGAGTTTCTTTTCAAAACTCTTTATAGAAACTTAATTTTGATTGCTCAGTTTGTACGGTATCTATATATATATACAGATATGATACGAATATTGCACCACTGTTTTAGATAATTACTGATGCCAAACTTGGGGAAAGATATCTTGTCAAATGAAAAAGTGTTCCATACAAGAACTTTAATATGCCCGACGAGGTTGTGTTATAGCTATATGATATAGTGTTCCAATATCGGCGGTTCCATCAAATGAGAATCTAATTGGAAAGATAAAATTGCTGACGAAATTTCAGATTGATATTTGAAAACTTGAACGACTAGTTCACGTAGCCCGACAGCCGACAGACGGACATGGCCAAATCAACTCAGATCATAATGCTGATCATTTATATGCTTGTAATAATATTTCCTGCTGTTTGCTACATTCAAACTGGCAAACTGAATTTACCCAGTTCAGCGTATAAAAATATGCTAAATAAGCTTTGTCATATGGCAACACTGAAAAGTTTTCAGTTTTGAAAGAATACATGTACGAGTACTTACGAGCCAAACCCGTTTACAAATCACGTTCATGGTATTTTCGTATGTACTTGTGGCACATTTACGAACAACGAAGGAAAAGGCCTGGAAAGCTCATCTCATGACTTCAAAACTCCCTTACAGCTCAGGGGAGTTAAGTATCCAATTCATTTTGGTATGCAAAAAAGTTGAGACACAGCTCTAATTTACTTCGAAGTAGTTACCGAGAAAGTTTTCGTCAGTTTTTCAAAAGTAGATCCGATTAATGCTGAAGAAGTTAAAAGCGAACGTAATGAAGATTGTACATAAAATAGATATTTTTTATACCTACTAGTTAATTTAAATTGGTTTGGAACCGCCAGTAACGGAAAATTGTCTGCTCTGGAATCGAACTACACTATTTTACTCATTAATTTGAGAAAAGATTGAGAGAATATGAAGGGAAGCTTCGTTTGAACTTCAACTGTAAAAATTTAGTTAGACTATGGAGATCAAAGATTCTCGAGATACTCGAATTCTAGCCTTATTATAAAGCGGTCACATAGAGCTTTTAGAATCGTCCAAAATGAAGTGATATTTTTTACATTACCCCCAGATGTTGAGCTTTAAAGTGAAAGGCTACGTTTAAGCACGATATATTTTAACATTTTTTCACCCAATGTTATGTTTAACTTCCTCAGTGAAAGCTGTGAAATAGAGGTTATTAAGATTTTTCGCCTAAAGGTATATTACAAAGGTACTGGTTATTAAGATCTTCCGCCTAAAGGTATATTACAATAATTAAATTTTCAGTTACTTTATTAAAATCTGAAGCTTGCGCTGCAATTGTAGAAGCTATTTTTAAGTTCTACGGTATTTATTAATTGCTGGTATTGGAAAGTCGACGGAAAACAAAGTAGGTGTGCGGATCAAAATTGGCTTTAATTCCAGGGTT